TAGCCATTTTTATACAAAAAATTTATTTCAAACCAAAAATCAAAATTTGTTTCTGCGAACAAATTTATTAAAATGACTCTTAATTATAGAGAAGAGCAAGGCGTGGAGGGGAAGGGGGTGAAGAAGGGCGTACATAAACAGACTAATGTAACCGTAGTCGCAGTGTAGTTACATACATCTACTGACTTAAACAGGTATGTGACAAGAAGAGTGTACATTTATTCTATTTAGGACTCCTAAAGTTTGATAAAGTTGTATAAATTAATAGCGGCTAAACGGTAAAATAACCCCAGAATTTATTTTTGATAAATATATTATTTAAATAACTTCTTCAGCAATAAGTTAGTGTAACAATGTATGTTATATTCGCATAATAATATCTAATTCTAACGCTTGCCAACTATTATTATTGTTTAACTATTATTATTATTATATCATTATTTTCATTTAATAACTATATTATTTTTAATTATTTTTTCATCGATGATATATCGGCAATTTCGTTGACTTATAAAGCCGTAGACGTAGCACACTCTTTTGTGGCACAAAACTGAATTACCCCCTTCCCTTGTAACAAATCGTCACAAAACCTCTAACCTCTCCCGCATCCCCATTCATTATTTTCAACACTTTGCTTACTTTAGATTTCCACAGAGTGCATCATTTCAAAGTATAAAGAATATTTGATTAACAGGTTTCAACATTATTATTATTATTAACTAACATTATTATTATTATTAAGCATTTTTTTTTTATTCTTGATAATAATATTGGAGAAAAATATTTTATAAAAATCAAAACACCCATGTATTTTTTGTTATTTAATTTTAAATGATCTAAGTAATATCGGGACCAAACGATTTGACGGTATATAAATTAATATCCATATTTAAAATAATGAAAGTAAAGTCTTTTTGAGGTTTAAAAATATTTTTGTGTCATGTGATATTGTAGTTTACCTTTGTGAAATCTCCAAAAACAAATCCCTGCTCAAGCCCACTAAAAATTGTTACTGGTATCAACAACATCATCTTAGGATTTTTTAAAAGCTTCATTGTGCTGATGAATAAGTCACATGCTCCTCGTTTTTTATTGTCTCGAATAATTTTAATCTTATCCAAGAAAATGAACACAAAAAATACTGCTAAGACGCCGAAACCCAAATATATGCTCATAAGTAGTGTTACCGTTGATTTGCTTGTTTCCTGGTGTGCAGACGAAATATCAGTAGAAGGGCAAAAGTTTTTACCACATACCTCTCCAATATTAGCTTCAGTAGAATTTAGCTTACCACCTAAAAAAAAAAGTTTAAAAAAAAAAACAAACAAAAAAAAACGAGTTCGTATATGCTTTAATCTTATAAGATTTATCAGAATTTTACTCGAATGCTAATAATTAGGCCTTCTTTTAAAATATCGTTAAAATTTGTAATAAATTTTTATTAAAGAACACAGTTGTAGTTAATTTTTGTAAGCTAGAAATTCATATTAGGATCTATAAAACAAGTTGTAAAAATATACAATACTGTTTATGGATACCAAAGGTAAGTGGGATTAATAATTTACGTATAACTTTTTGTTACTATCCTATCTAAAACTGTTGTGATTTTTAATCCAAAAGTTCTTACATAAATTCAGTGTTAAAAAAAAAATCAGTTCAAACTTTATTACCACATAAAAAAACAGTTATTTATTATTTTGGAAAGTCAGAATTGACTTAATAAAAAAATATAGTTGTTCTATTTAAAGGACCCGTAAAAGACTTGACCTGTGTATATACATATGCGACTCAGTTAATAAGATTTTTCCAATACTGAAACATTTTAAATAAATAAATAAAAACCTTAAAAAAAAAGAAAGGGCTTTTAAGTTTAATTATTAGGCTGCACACAAATGATAACACCGAATAAACTTTAATGCACTTAATCTACTTTACCAGACGGTTTTAAAACTAAAGAAGATATAAGATTTCCCCAAATTTGTCCACTCTGAAATATTAAAAAAAATATTCCAAAAAATTTGTTGACCATGTTATCTTCTGAAAAATTCATCGATTTTCCATATATCATTCCTGAAGAAGTCAAGTAAGAGCATTTTGCAGACCATAAAGGAGCCCCACAAAATCCTAAATACAAAAGACGTTTTTATAGAACAAAATTTACAATACAGCATTGATATGAAAAAATATATTTTTTAAAAAACTTACCTAATAATAATGACGCAGGAACGACTGTCCAATAAGTTGGATAAAACATTGAAAGTGTGAATGGAATGTAACCAATCATTAAAAATGCCACAGTGTATTTGCATCCAATTTTTTTAATAACTAATGGGGGTACAAACATGCATGATATCATGAGCGCAGCATAGATTGCAACTAATGAGGCAAATCCAAGATTGTCATTTTTGTGAATGCTGCTCTGCAAACTCTGCAAAGCTTGGAAAGCTGTAAATAAAAAAGTAAATCCCAAACTAACGACAAGAAGATTTTTATATGTTTTTACGCGATTTTATTTACTTTGAATGCTCTTTAGGATCTTTTATGATTTCGGGATCAAATTCTGATTCGATCATTTTTTATGCAATTTCTAACAGTAAGAAAGTAAATGTTAATTATTAAAAGTAAAAATTTAAATTAACTAAATAAATATTGAAACACTTTTTTTTCAAAATAGATAACTTAAACATATTTAATAAATTTAAAAATTAAATAAAAAAATAAAAGAAATTATAATAAAAGCACAAGTTCGATCAAAATAATTTAAAAAAAAGTTAGAAATTTTAATTCTAGTATCGTTGAATCTTTTTTGAAAGAAATATTTTAAAAAAATTTATTGAAAAAATAATGTTATTGATAAAATAATTCGCTTTCTGCTTTGTTAAATCAGAGACGGTTTTTTTTACGAATAAGTTTTGGTTTTAAAAAATTTATAAGAAGTACTCATAAAAAAATTTAGTAATAAAATAAATATTAAAAAGTAATTAAAACATCGCATTATTTTATTTACATGATTATTATAATTATAAATTTTCTTTAATTTTAGTTTTCTTATCTTTTTTTTTTTTTTTTTTTTTTTTTTTGTCAAAAAATTAACTCTTTTTTTAAATGCTCTTGATTATAATTAGTTTTAAATAAGTTTAAACTTTATATTTATGAAAAAAACTGAATTATTTTATTATTATTGTTATTAATATTATTAGGACATTTATCTTAATAATAAGTGGATTTGCCGCAAGTCAGTGGATTTGTTATTTGAGTTGATTTTTTATATTATTTTGTTAATACGGTGTTATTAGTGCAAAATATATCTGGAAATACAATTGAAATTATGTTTTTTTTTTAGGTTAGATGCATAAAAACGTGCAAATTTAAACTTGAAAATATGTTGGTTTTTTGAAATTATTATCTAATTTTTTTCGGTAATAAGAGTTCCTTATATAAAACCCTTTTAAAAAAACATTTATTCCATAAAATCCATCCAGCATATACTTTTTTTTCAATACTTTTTCACTTTCTTATTATTTCCACTTCTTATTTTTAAAACTGTCTTTTATTTGCTTGTTTTTTTACAGCCGTTAATTTGACATGCATCATTGAATAGCGCTAAAATAGAATGCAATATAAATTCTAAACCGTTTGCACATTTTTTACTTGACGGAGTGATTAGTTTTATTTTAATTTGGAAATGAAAACTTTAAATCGTTTATGTTTCTTAATGATATAAAATAATTATTTCTACGAAATAGTAAAATCTAAATGAAAAATATTTCATGGCCAGTTTTTTTCAAAGATCTTCAATAAACCCATCAAACCATAAAGAAAAGGTCGAAAAAGAGAAACCCTTCCTCGTCCTTCAAAAAAACCTTTTTTCAACACGATTTTTATATAGCTTACTTAAAAATATATATTACTGCGTACGACCATAAAACAACAAGTAAAAGTGATAGATAATTACCAGACGGTTTGGGATGTGTTAGCTATTCACATAGAATTTATATCTGGAAGACGGTAGGGGTAGCCAAAACGTTTAGATAAAAGTTATTCCATGATAAAATTAACCGCAGCAATTGTTTTCCTTCTCCCATCAAAGATTGATGCCTCAATAGCAGGGGCGGACTGGCCATGTGGAAGATGTGGACTATTCCACATGGGCCGTTGTTAAGTACTTTGTTTTTACGTATATGTATTCTAATAAATTTTTTCTGTTCGATATTTATTCATTAATGTATATATTTATAAATTAAGCATAACTTTGTAATTTACGTCTGTTATCTTTGCTGCTTTTCCTCTTTTTTCGTTGGCCTACAGGGCCGTTAAAAATATTTTTCCACATCATAATAATTTGGCCAGTCCGCCCCTGCTCAATAGACGTGACTGCGTCATGTTGTTATTTGCGTGCTTTTTTTGTTTTTGGTCAGCGGAGTACTTTTCGGTGCCCATTAAAATCATAGCTTCTTTTTTAAAAAACTTGATATAACATCCTGAACGAAAGTAGTTAGAGAGCTATACAGTACTTTCACAACTGTTGATTTTCACGGATTAAAGCATATTGTTTCCCTTGTTAAACCTTTCAATAATAATCTCTAGATGGCGATCATGAATGCCGTTTCCAGTCGATCCGTTTTCTTGAGAAGTCTACTTATAAAAAGACTTGTTAGTGTTTTTCAAATATAATAAAAGATAATATTATCATCTTTTATTATTTTTGGATTGTATACTTTTTTATCTGTGGAATATTGTTTAAATCACAATACAAGCATGTTAAATGTTTACTTCTTGTTTAGATCAGACTAAACATTATGAAGACTTCATAAGTATAAATCATATAATTTATATATAACCAAAACCAATATAACATAATAAATATTTAAACAAAGTGTATAACCATTCCTTATGTTACCATTATAATCTACACACCCTACCAATGGAAAGTTTGTTTAGGACCTTTAGAAATGATTATAGAATAACAAGTATTAGCATGTATATTTTGGTTTTATTTATTTTATTTTTAATCTTCACTCCTTTCATCAGTTGCTACAGTTAGTTATTTTAAAAGCTAGTACTTTTTAATCTTTATATAAAACCAATTTCAAAGTCATCAATTACAATATTTATTTTTTATTACTTTTTTTTTACCCTTAGCTACATCTTTATCTGCAACGAGTGGTAAGTTTAACAATTATTACTTTTTAAAATGTTTGCATTTCTCAACAATTACAAATTTATTTTTTATTAAAACTTTTTAGTCTTAGTTCCATCTTCAACTGCATTGAGTGGTAAGCTTAAAAATATTTTTATTGTATCCTTTAAAAAACCAGTACATGTATGTATGTCGGATCAATTGCAATATTTATTTTTTATTACACTTTTATTTTAACTTTATTTCCATCTACATCTGTTATAAATGGTATGTTTACAAGCTATTAGCAAACTTGTAGCAGCTGCTATAAGTGGTAATACAAGTAGTATATAAACAATTCTAATATGTGTATGCGTAATGTATGTGTAAAAATATTAATTTTAATGTGTATGCCTTTCTTGTAAATTGCAAATAAAATTTGATTCTATTACAACTTTTTTTTACCTTTAGTCCCACAATCTTTTCAACAAGCTTCACAACTTTCTGCTGGTAAGTTTATGATATCTAAATGTTTTTAAATAATTATTTAATTCTATATTTATATATATATATATATATATATATATATATATATATATATATACATATATATATATATATATATATATATATATATATATATATATATATATATATATATATATATATATATATATATATATGTGTGTGTGTGTGTGTGTGTGTGTGTGTGTGTGTGTGTGTGTGTGTGTGTGTGTGTGTGTGTGTGTGTGTGTGTGTGTGTGTGTGTGTGTGTGTGTAATTATATGCAGGTATATATATATATATATTTAGATAGATATATATATATATATATATATATATATATATATATATATATATATATATATATATATATATATTTAGATAGATATATATATATATATTTAGATAGATAGATAGATATAGATATATCAGTGTGTGTATAAATATATGTAGGTGTATATATATAAATATATATATATATATATATATTATATATATATATATATATATATATATATATATATATATATATATATATATATATATATATATATATAAATATATATATATATATATATATATATATAAATATATATATATATATATAATTTTATTATATTGAATAACAATATAAATATAAGAATATATACTTTAAAACTTTTTATTCTAGTTTACTTTATGGTATTTTTGTAGTTTATGTTTAAATGGTTATATAGAAATAATAATTGTTTTTCAAGATGAATAATATGAGAAATTATAATTTTCAAGATAAATAATATGAGAAATTACAAACGAGTATCAAATCAACAAGCATGGAATGAAAGTACCATGCAACAAACAATTCTCTCCGTGATAAATAATGATCAAGGATACAAAAAACCTGCCAAAAGTATGTAGTGTACCACATACTACCCTTGAAAGAAGAGTAAAAATATTTCTTAAATATCCTGATATTAAAAAAGCATGTGAAAAGAGTAATTTCAAATGATTAATTATTTATTTACAGTAAAGGTACAATGTATATAAAAAATCATCAATATTATTATTCTTTGACAACTTATATGTAGTATAGCCCAACACAAATTATTAAATGTGTAAAAAATGTTATATATGTTTTCTTATTAAGTTTAAAGTAGTTAATTTAGTACTTTTGTATTTCGGCTCTAGGTGCTTTCAAACAGTGTTCACTCCAGAGGAAGAAAATGAACTTTTTAGGCACATTCGGCTGACGGAAAAGATGCTTTTCGGATTCAGCTCATTTGAGCTCAGAAAATTAGCGTAGGTAAGCGAAAGATACTATGACTCAAAATGAGGTTTTGATTTTTTTAAAAAACGAAGACCAGATATATTACTGATTTGAGGAGAAATGTAGGAGAGTGCTGCTACATCGATTGATCTATACCTGTCCTAACCCAAACCCTCAGCCGATGTAGCAGCATTCCCTTGCATGTTATCCCTAAATTAGTCAATGTAGAAGCACTCTCCTACATTTCTCCCGAATTCAGTAATATATCTGGTCTTCGTTTTTAAAAAAATCAAAACCTCATTTTGAGTCATAGTATCTTTCGCTTACCATTAGCGTATGAGCTGGCAGTTAAAAACAATTAGAAACAAAGTCATTATTAAAACAATAAGTTTTAAAAATGACCTTGGCATTACCGGTTATGACTGGTATAAATGTTTCATGGAGAGACATTCCAAACACTTGTCACTTCGTAAACCAGAGGCTATATCAGCAGCTCGTGCCATAGGCTTTAACAGAGTGGCGGTGGATACTTTTTTTTCTTTACTAGAAGAAGTTGTTGATGCAAATAAGCTACATGTTGAAAATATCTGGAATTGTGACGAAACCGGTATTTCTACAGTTCCAAAGTGTC